ACTCAAGATAATGTGAAAGCAATGTACAAAGCCGTAAATAATAATCCAGAATGCAAGAAGAAATTAAATTATAGATTTACAGACTAGAGAGAGCATATATTTAATTAAGAATATATTTATTTGTGTGATGGTGATACCTGTGCCATATGCAGATGCCTTTTGACAGTCTGGAGGTTAAAGTGACTTGAGAGTGTCTTGCAAAGAGTTAAATATCAAATCAAATGAATGCAACAAGTTTCATAAATTATTATAGTTATGTCATTAATTAATTATATTTGATGTAAATAAATTGAGTACATTACATGACTCTACAGATACATCATTTTATTCCTCTAGCATTACTTGGAATACGACTCTTAAACTATTTTCTTTTGTCGCTCAGATCAAGGGTCTGCCAGAGGCCTTCGAGACACCTGGCGTCGGCTCAAACTACTCGCCGCTTTATGTGAACAACACCTTCGAGAGTCTTAAGAACTTCAAGCAAGGCAATGCTATCTTTACATTCCCAGCCACTCCTATCAAGTGTGCAGGAGCTCCCCAGAAGATCATGTATATTGCCGATGAGTACTTGCGCAAGGTTAGTTATTGTGGGGATTGGATGAAGTTGTTGGCTTTGTCGTGTATTTATAGATTTTCATAGCTTGTTCGCTGTATTTACTTCCTTTATATTTTGTTGGACTTGTGTAGTATTCTTTTTGTTGGTTTATTAGGGATTATCATTATTATTATTATATTCATTGTTATGTTATATATATTTCTTTTTTCCTTTTTCTTTCTCTGTATTTTCTTTTTTCAGTTTTTTCCCTTTTTCCTTTTTCTTTATTTTTTTTCATTTTTTTTCATTTTCTTTATTTTTTCCTTCTTTAACTCCTCATCTTTGGCTCAACTCGCCTCATCTTTGATTTTTCTCTTCGTCCTCCTCACTTTTCCACCCTCTCTTCCACTGCCTTGTTCTTTCATTTCCTTGTCCTTGTCTTCTTCTTCTTCTTCTTCTTCTTCTTCTTCTTCTTCTTCTTCTTCTTCTTTGTCTGCTTCTGCCTTCTTCTCATTATCACTCTTCTTGATCCTCTTCATCTGAAAATATTTCTCTTTCTCTTGCAAGTCAACAAGTATTACATTCAATTATTAGGATTAAGGTGTAGATTTGGAATTAACAATTAAATACACTCAAGAATGATTTCTTTTCTTGCTTTGTTTGTTTTGAAATTTATTATTATATTTCATAAGATTCTCACGTGCACCAATTGGAAAAATTAGTTATTATTGACTGAAATAGATGCAGTGCTAGTGAATTTCTTTAGAACATTGAGGCTATGATAGCATTTTCCTCTTCCTCTTCTTTCTACTGTCATCTTTTCTTCTCTCTTATTATCCTCCTGTGAAATATTAAGTGTTGAAACAACAAAATAGGCTGTTTCAATCTTGCTCACTTTATTTCTTTTTTGCACTATATTAAGTGGAAGCTTAATTTATTCAAACTTCTTTATTTTTGTCTCTTTTTTTGTTCCAGAACGGCAAAAGAGACAAGGCTAACATTATTTTCAACACCTCCTTAGGAGTGATCTTTGGTGTGAAGAAATATGCTGAAGTTCTGTGGGAGGTAAATAGGTTGTGCATGGTATTATTTTTTGTAAGCTCTCATATTTTTCCTTAACATTTGAAGTACTTCTGAATATGTGGCTGTAATGCCTTTCAATTTTTTTCATGTGTCTTATCGTATTTATCTTCTTAAAAGGTAACTTCTCATCAGGAAATTGAAAAGACATAAAGTTATCTTTTTTTTCTTTTAGGTGTTTATATTTGGTCTTTTTTATCTATTTTTTCATTAGATGGCAGTATTCATGATTGAGATTTTTATACCATTAGATTTTGTACTTCATTAAGGAGATAGAAATATAAATTCATGCCTTATGATTTACTTACCATCACTTTTTTTTTTCTTCTTTTTTTTCTTTTCTTTTTTGACTTTTGATGGTAATGTTGTGTGTATGTGTTATCTGTATTTCTTTTTTGAGTCATTAGTATATGAGGTGCACAGATCCAGCGTGTGTTTTAATCCAATTTCAATTTATGATAAGGATAAGACACAAGTACTTCTTTTCTTTAGTATCAATATCCAACTACTCCTTTATTAGACAGTGCTATGAATTCTACTTGGAAGAAACCGTTTGGCAGTTTTTGCATTTCATTTGTTTTCACCTTCATGGCAATTCTCTTTTAATGCAAAAGTTTCCATTTTGTACTGTCTACAAAATGTGTTCATATAGACACAGTTGCATGTTACAATATTCTTATCAGCAGACACAGTTTTGGAATATAGTAATGCTACTTTCTTTTCCAGGTTGTGAAAGAGAGAAACCTGACGGTAAACCTTCGTCACAATTTGATCGAAGTTAAACCTGACTCAAGGGAAGCCGTCTTCCAGAATCTTGACAATCCTGAAGAATTTAAGACTTTTGAGGTAGATATGTAGTGATTTGTGTTTTTTATATGGAATTTA